CAATTATCGTTAATATTTAGTCTCTTGGTACCAATGGAATGAATAAGAAAAGAATACATTTAGTTCTCAAACCATTTATAGATGAGCAAAAACATTTCATTTCTAAATATAAAATTATTACAATAATATCTCTTGGTACCAATTTTTATTGTAAGAAAAGTGCAATTTTTGCTTCTAGATTATGCAATTATAGTCCACTGTCCACTGAATATACAAAAATATCCATGAAATTACAAAACGTAATATGTTATTATATGTGTCCAATGAGTATATCTTTCCTGGTAATCTGCCCTTTCTTCAATTATGCAATTATCGTCAATATGTGTCTCCTGGTAACAATTAATATGATAACAAACATGAAATTATGATATGAGATATGTATACAATGAATATATTTGTCGTGATAATATCCTCACACCGGAACCAGCTCGACTCTGATTTCTCTTTCATTCGTCTCATTAGAACCATTATTCTGGCATCTTGTATTAATTTACTGTAAATCTAAACTTATTTATTCATACGACTAGAATTTGGTCAAAATAATAACCTGATTTTCACAATTGTTTCCCTTGTCAGATTAAATAGCCAGATTTCATACTGCCGGTCTTACTGTAAGTTCAAAGTTCACATTTTCTATCTGATATTTTTTTCATTTATTTTTTATTACGAAAAATTGCATTCATGACATGTGGTCAAAATACAGTTTTGGAACTGAACAGAAAGGTATAAAAATACAGAAATATGATTGGATTGAAGTCATGATAAAATTCGTTTTAAGGATAACCCATAAAGCTTGTGTGAATATCTTCATTAGCTTATTTCCTTTGAGGTCCTGAATTTTTCGAATACATCTGACAACTATGGCATTATTTTCCTTCACACCATAGCGATTACCAACCAGTTGCATAATAATGAATAACCTACCATGAGTTCAGAACGCTCACAACTCAGTTACATGAGAGTTGCATTTAAAGGGACAGACATTTTTTTTTACCTCAGAAACTGTAATTTTTCAGCTGAGCTAATTCGTAATAGTGTTCACAGCTCACCGTTGAAATTTGAGCCTCCATATTCATTTTGTCCAGAATTATCTGCATTTGAATGTTAAAATGACGACTCGTCAATTTAAGATACTCTGTGATATATTGAAAAGAGATATATAGAAATAGTGAGTAAATTCCCAGTTTAAGAATTTTTAAAGAAATTGAGCAATTTTCGTACATTTAAAGTACTTCTGAAGACTATTTACATATATTCAGGACAAATCAACCCCCCAAATGGCCCACCTGTCCCATTAAAATTCATAGAAGCAACCATACGCAACTGTGGATCACTATGGTGTGAAGGTCACTTAAATGCCATGTCAGATGTATTAGAAAGATTTAAGAAAGTCTTCAAGATTCCTCATTAATAATACAAAATTGTGAATTTGATGGACGAACTTTGAGCTCCAGTACGATAATTTCAATAAATATACCAGATAGATGAATGCTATTAGCTATAAAAACTTTCTGAAAGCAATGTCAAGTTGAAAATCTTAGAAACAAAATAACAATGTTAGCTTTATGAACTCTCTGAAAGGGATGTAAATTGATGAACCCAATGATCACTATTGGTAAAGAGTCTCTCTAAAAGAAGCAGATACAAAAATTAGATACAGAATGAAATCTATAAACTATATGGACTCTGAAAAGTATGACTAAACATCAACCTTATTGGCTTCGTAGACTTTTTGAAAGAGATGAGTGAGCTGAGCATTCACTAGTGACACCTACCAGAGTTACCAGAGTTATTCATCTTGTTCTTAAGATGGTTCTTGACCCCATCAGAAAGTTAAAGAAATAGGATACTTGTTAGGATTGAAAATGATATTTAAATGCCTCTAGGAAACATATTTACTCTACAAGTGTGCCAAATATTTCAGAATTCTATCATATTTCATGTCAAATTTGATATCTAAAATCGCGACTGGTTTGTTTTGATAATATGTTTAACATTTCTCAATCTTCCTGAACGTATTTTGATGAAAAACTTTGTTCTATGTTAATCACACTTCAAACTGTGACATGTGCCACGAAAACAAATCATTTATCTATTGGTTTAGCCTTCCAATATTAGCAGACAACTCTGCAAACCATTTATCTATTTGTTCTGCCTTTTATTTCATATCTGCTGAAAAGTGGGACGTAAAACTCCATTCATTTCATTTGGTTTGTATTTCATATCACAGTGATCCTACTCCAAAATTCCTTCCGCCCATTAAGGAGAAAAACTACAGGATTAAAAATTACGTTTCATAACTCCAACGAAAGAAATTATGTTCCTTCTAATTTTTTTCACATTATATAATCTTTCATCAATTGGTTTTGCCTTCTTTTTTTATGTCTGACAATATCACAGACTTTTCTATTTGTTTAGCCTTTTGAATATGTTTTGTCAATGAAGGCACCTCTGTTTTCCGTTACGACAGATGAAAACAAATAACAAAATGTAGTGGCACGATATTAGATATACAAGCCGAGATGAATCGTGCAATGATCAATCCCATATTGAGGCTGGTGTATTCCAGGTGTCATCCCTCAAGCCCGAAACGTGATCTACCTACTCGAACAAATTAAAGACGCATACAAAATGTTTATTATTCGGCATCAATCATTTTGAATACACCGTGGCGCCTCGTCAAGTGTGTTTATTGTCATGATGGTATTCAAACTCCATAAATGTCAGCCATTTTGATTGGTCTATGATATTGAAAACAGCTTTCCAACTCAATTTCGATATTTAACTAAAAAATTAAATGTAATTGGTATCCATTAGTATTCCATCGAAGGAATTATTTGAATGAAATGGAGGCAATTTGCAAATGGAATAGAAATTAGGGAAAATGAAGTTTGAAGATCGCGAGATATCATCTCATAATGTCCGCAATTATGTAATTTCCATTAAGTTCTTATTCATCAGAGAATTGATTTGAACATATCTATTCACTTGGCAACCATTGATGTAGTGAGAGTTATCTACTCTTGAATTATTTCAATTGTAGTTATCTGCCCTTGAGATCTTCATCTAAATTATCTCCCATAGAATTATTTCAATTGTAGTTATCTCCTCTTGAGCTTTTTTTGCCTTTGCAAATTATCTCCCTTGATATTACATCCAATCTAGTTATCTGCTCTTGAGTTCTGTTAAGTATTTTGTCCCGATATATTCCTTATATGGAAACAACAATATGTGCTTAATCCAATCATGGCTGATTCTTAAATCATTCTACTCTTAACGACTACGTTAAATTACTTTTTGATATGAAAGTGGCAGACATACTAGAGACATTCAAAAAGATAAAATGAAATTATACCCTAGAGATTGAATTGAAGAGCCTTTGATTCGAGCGAGATGAAAAACTGAACATTTGAAATGACGTAATTTCAATGTATATAAGTCTAGTTCCGCAGTGAATGATGGACTTGTCACAATATTGCATTGCCGATTACACGTAATTTCTCATTGATTTCTCCTTCGTGCTTGAAAAATCCAATATCAAGACGATTTATTACCCTACATTCTTATTTCTCTCTCTCTCTACCTCAAATTAGACTTTGAAAAAGTTGAAACCTAACATTGTTGTAAGAATATTGATTTTTAAGCCAATTTTCTCTCCAGTTTCACGATAGCTGGTTTTGTCAGTCGAAGCCAAGTGGTCTCATAAAAAAACATAACAATATATTCACTTGTGATTATTTCTTACGATTTCTAAATCCAGAATGCTTCAAATCACGTTATTTTTCTCGTTAAAATGTAGCTGTAAATTGAATTTCAGGTCCAGATTTCATTAGAAATAATGAAATCTACGAAAGAACATTGTTGGAGCTTAACATTCGCAAAAATAGACATATCTATTTGATTTTTTTCATACAATTTAATAACATTTTAACATCAAATCTCTCAAAATGAGTTATGGTCTTAAACCAGGGATGATGGGAGATTTGATTTGAAACATTTTATGAAAGCCGCGGAAGGATTACGTTCGTGAAATCATATCGTCGGGTCCATTAAGGTTATTGATAAAACTTCGTATTGCTTAAACAAACAAAAGATGGACGATAACAATTTTATTTGAAATCATACGAATGTTCAGACACCAGATATTGATTCGGTACCAATCCGTATTTGGTGAGATCTGTATTTTTTCATGGAATTAAAATCGTCAAACATATTTACCATCTGAAATGAAGCTTAACATTGGCACGGGGAATGGAAATAGAATTCACTTATTGAAGTAAAAAATGGTCTCTTGTTTAAATTGAATTATTCTGGTACACTGACATAGCCTGGGGTGATAAAGGCTGTGATGTGTGTCCTTTGGAAAGACAAGACAAGACATAACTTAATGTTATGAGACCAACCCCGCCCGACAAAAAACTAGATATCAATTTAACACAAACTAGCAATTCCTTCTTGCAATAACTCTAACTCTTCTATGATTAAACATTAAAACATTCATCTGAATACATGAACATCACGTAAACCAGGGTTTTGAAACTAAAAAGCCGAATTTGATATTGCATGTAATTATATCACTGGTATGTTATCATAGATTAGTATAACCATGCATGTCTGAAACATACCATTCCAGGATTTTTTACACATATTTCAAGCCTTAAAGCAGCCCTGCGTTTTGTTGGCAAAAAGTTACCTAGCTTTTATGTTTCTCTATGGAGTATTGTCATATCAATATATAAACGAAGGCAAGACAAAAAGTTTGACTGAATTCAGAGAAGATTTCTTTGTGCTTATTTTTCAGAATTAGGAAATAAATGTTGTAACCCTGAAAAACCAAGTTACGAAAGCACTGGCACAGGATGTACAAGCTTACAGTTCTTGAAAATAAATAATAACCGTGTTTTAAAATTGTCCTAATTTTTTTTTTTTTAATTCCAGGTGCTGATTCCATGTCAAATTTTCCAATTTTAACGACAACGCCACCTTCAGTTCCGAAACCTGTGAAACTAGGACAAACTATCAAGTATGAAATTCCACCGAAATCGTTTTGGACTACGAGATTATCGAAGGATAAAGACGGATATTTAAAACTGAACTTTACCCTGTCAGACTCGGCTGTGCTGGGTGTTTACGGAAGACGTAGTGTGTCTCCTTCTCATGCCCAGTTTGATTTCTTTAAAGTGTTTGATGGAAAAAGGATTCAGGGTCGACAGAAAAGATCTCTTAGTGATGTAAGTATTTAGTCTTTGAGATAAGTTGTCTTTTGATGGGATTTTTTAATTGGACCTTTAAAGTTTTCAACCCAGAGTTGCTGGCAAACTGTTGAAAAGTGTCACTTTATAGCAAAATTTCCCTCATTTTACACTGCATGGCTTGTAAATCCAGCAGATCAAATTTCAGGAGAAGTAGAAAAAAAGATGCTTTATGGGATAAATAAAGCATAGTTTAAAAATATTTTCTATTCCTCTCTCTTAAGTACCCCCATTCTCCCTCCCTCTCTTATACATTCCCCACCCTCTCTCTTATACATTCCCCGCCCCCTCTCTTATACATTCCCCACCCCCTCTCTTATACATTCCCCACCCCCTCTCTTATACATTCCCCGCCCCCTCTTATACATTCCCCACCCCCTCTCTTATACATTCCCCACCCCCTCTCTTATACATTCCTCACCCCCTCTCTTATACATCCCCC